ATCTGACTGTGTGTGTGTGTGTGTGTGTGGGGGGTGAAGCTGGTCACGTCTGTGTTTCTCCTCAGACAAAGAGGATTTCAGGACAGTCCCGAAGACAAGCTCTCAGTCTCTCTGACATATAGAACCGATGACATGCAGGATCCCGCTTTTCATCATTCATCCCTGAATCGCAGAAGGATTCCCGACACATAATCCCAGTCCAGATTACGTAATAACACCTGGAGGCTCCGCCCCTTTTCCCAGTCGTTCTCTTTCCGTATCGTTCCCTGGAAAAGCTTTTATATCCCTCCGTATGAACTGAGAACCTTTCCCCGTGCTTTTGCTCAATGTGGAACGAGCTGCAGAAAGATGAAGGTCTCCTCCTCACTGTTGCCTAGCAACCGCATCCCAGTCTCTCCATCCCTGTAGGACACACTCTCTCCTCTGTTCATTCCTCCCTCCTCTCGCTCTCTCACAGCTGCTCGGCGTCTGTGAACACAGGCTCATCCCTCTGTCTCCTGCGAGCGCTGCGATTGGTGGAGGCACACTTCCTGCTGCTCTCTGATTGGCTCAGGGTCTGCTTGATGATGTCATCTGTTTAGTACTCAGGAGGCTCGCAGGCGAAGTGAAGTGCATGTACGTGATTAGTGCACGAAATATGACATTTGCAGTCTATATAGGCCAGGAAATTAGTCATGGGATGTTTCTTTACGTAACAGTTAATGGAAGGAAAATGTATAGGTTATGGAAAAATACATATTTTAAAAAGTGCATCAGTTATTTGAATTTTATCGGTAAATTTAAAATCAATTATTTATAAATTGCAACTACTAAAATTAAATAATTATTTTCCTCATGTTATTGCATAAATTATAACATTCAACCCTTAAATATTTTCGAAAGTAGCATAAAAATAAATATATTTGTTATGATTATAATAATAACAACACCCCAAATAATAATTGTTATAGATTATAATAATAATAATATAATTAAAACAGCAAATATTTAAATAATAATTATAATTATTAACATTATGGTAAATTAATATAATAATTACTAAAAATATTCTAAAAATAACACTGTTAATAATAATAATATAATTACAATATTTATTTAATATTATTATTATACTAATAATTTTTTTTGTATAATTATAATAACCACAATAACAATTATTAAAAGTATAATAATTGTTATTAATATAATCATTATAAATAATAGTATACTTAAAATAACAATTAATACAAAAAATTACTATAACAATAAAATGATTATCATTAGAATTTATTTAATAACTATAATGTTTGATAATAAAAATTATTAATAATAATAATATATTACAATAATAATAATATTTTATTATTTTTATAATAATAATAATAATATTAAAAATAATATAAAATAAAAACAATTTATTATTTTTTTTATTATGATTAATATTGAAGCTAAAGTGTCGCAATGGTTTGGATTTAAGCTTTGCACGTCCATTAAAAAATAATAAATATCATCCACCCAGAATTGAAAACTGCTCGGATGGGTTTGACATGCTCTTCTGTATACAGCCGTAAACATAAAACTGTCCTCAAACGGTTTAGTCAATCCCTGAGACGACGTTATAATGGACGAGAGTGAGTTTAGAAAGACTCTGAATCCTCACATCATCCATTAACATCACTCAATCCCTCCAGTCATGTGGAAGAGCTCGGAGTGCTTTCTTCTGTGTTTCAGCCTCGCAGAGTTCACAAAACACATGCAGAGAGTCTCAACACCGAAATGATTAGATCGGAGTATATTTTCAATAATGTAAGTCACTATTTACTGGTAACGTCAGACATTTGGCATTATCAGGACCCACATATATATTGCATTATTATACATTATATTCAAAATATATGTAGTTCAATACTGACTCATTTTGGGTGAAATATGGCAACACATCTTTTTGCATTTATTATAGTTATTGTACATATAACACTATAAATATCGTTACACCCCTACTAATGTCCTTATGATGTGTAAAGTTATAAAATATTCTAAATGAATGTAAGATCAGATCCGTTCCGCCACATGTTTTCTTCAGAATGATAAATATGATGTACATCTGTTGAGACTTTAAAGGGACGGTTCACCCCAAAATGAAAATTCGTTCATAATTTACTCTCCCTTATGTTTTTTCAATCATAAGAAAGAAACTCATACAGGTTTGAAAAAACATAAGATTTTGACCTAAAAATATCAAAATTGAAACTACTGCGGAAACAAAGACACCTACTATCTTAGATGCCCTTGAGGTAACATATCAAACATTAATTTCAAAGTGAACTATCCCTTTAAGCTCAGTGCTGTACTTCACTCACTCACCACCAGATGGAGCTGGAGTTTCAATCATCCTCCATGAGGCAACAGAGCAGGAACAACCTGATCTTCCTCCTTTGAAAAAGAAAATAATTCAGTCTCTTAACTTTATATGTGCGAGCACACTTTCTATAGAGAATAGTGAGGAAAGAAAGAAGTTCACTTTCCTCTAATCACTGTGAAATGAGGTTCGGTTAAACACCTTATAACATTGAAGAATGTGTTTTTTTTGAAAACAGTAAAGAACTTTAATATTAAAGATAGGCTACTGCATCATTTGTCTTTATTATTAATTAATAAATCTAACAAAATTATTTTAAAAAAAGAGAGTAAAGCTTCATTATCTCATTCATTTTTGTGCTAAAGTACACTAGGCTACATGTCAAGTTTGATTTTCTGGTCTGTCAACTCAATCACATGATCCGCTCTCTGGATCATGTGACACTTACGTGAAATTAGACTTCATTCACGCCAATGGAAAGCATATTTACACGGTCTAAATCGTTCCCTATCCCCTATATAGTGCACTTTCACCATGTAGAAAATAATAAATGTGACCGATTTCAGCCGCAGCTTCAGCGTCTATGTAGGGGGCGGAGCTTCAGATTCTAGAGAGCTTTTGATTGGACAGAAAATCTGTGTGGAAACTGTGGAGTGATGTCATCAAAATCATTGATTTATATTGACAGAAATGAGAGAAGTTTTGAATGCTTATATCTTCTAAAGGCGAATTTTGTCATGGTTTTGGAGCATAAACTTTTGAAGTTTAATTTTGTACACTTTATTTGTTGCACCTTTAAAAAACTGCATGCCCACCAATAGGAAATCCTGCTAAATAAGTAAATGAACAGAGAAGGTTGAGGACATTTTGATTAGAAACACCATATTGCTCTTGAGCTCAGGGGAGTCTAATTTAAGAACAGGCGAACAGACGGGGGTCTTAATCTGACCCGCTCGGAGGATGCCAGATTATGAAGATCTCACCTAGACCTCAATGAAAATCTGGGATTGCTTTTAAACCTGGAAATAAACAAAGTTGTAGAATTTTGAAAGACACAGAGAAGCTATTGTAATGCGCATTAATTATTAATCGTGGATCTCAAATCAGGCTTGATTCACAATTACCAATCACGATTTTATCTCAGTGATATTTATATAATTTACATAGCTATTACAGTATTTATCAATTAGCTATTTGTATTGGTTGCTTTTGTAAGTTTATTCTTAATTAATTTTTTCAATATTTCTATTTATCTTAAATTGCAACGCGTTCTCATCCCAAAGCGCCATATAGGACGCTTTTGCAAAAGCGTAAATATCCAACGCACATGGCACCCTTTAACGTCTAATGAGACGCTTCGGTTAATGGTTAAGTTTAGGTATGGTGTTGGGTAAGGGTTAGACCACTAGGGGGCGCCATCTGCCCAAATATATCTGCGTCTCATTTCACGTTAAAGGGTGCCATGTGCGTTGGATATTTACGCTTTTGCAAAAGCGTCCTATATGGCGCTTTGGGATGAGAACGGGCTCTAAATTGACATTATTTTTTATTTTTTTACTTTAATTCAGTTAGTTGCCAAAGCAGCATTTCTAATTTAACTAGATTAACTATTTTTCATCTATTTATTTCAGCTTTATTGTAATGGAATTTTTATATTTTTTATTCAGCAGCATTTTTTTTAATTGTAAAAATAATAAACTACATTTTATTTTTATTGTTTTCAAATAGCTAAAACAATTTTAATAGTTTTTAGTTAGTTAGCAACAACTGTTTTTTAGTTTTTTAGTTAGTTAGTTTTTTACTACTGTAAAAAATTATAACTAAATAATAATTAATTTGTATCTTTTTTCCAGATTTATTTAAATTAAGGAAAATTACATTATTTTAATAGTTTTTAGTAAGCAACAATTTTATAATTGTAAAAATAAACAACAATAAATATCATTATTCTTTAGCAACATTTTTAATACTGTAAAAGTAATTAACTAAATAATAATTTGTATCTATTTTCAGATTTATTTAAATTAAGTTTTTTAATATTTTTCTTTAATTAGCAACAATTTTATAATTGTGAAAATAAATATCAATAATTATTATTACTATTCATCCTCTTTTAATATTTTATTTCAGATGTATTTCAATTAATTAAAGTGATTTTCAATAGTTTTAGAAACAATCACAACACTGATCCAAGTTTCATGTTTCAACTTTTCACAGTATTTGCATTTAGAAATGTGTATTAAAAAGGTATTTATTTTTATTTTTTCTGTGAATAAAAAGAAGCAACTCTAGTTACTAAAAAAAATTAAAAATTGGTGTAGTATTTACTTTGAAATAAATCTCTCAAAAAAACACTACTAAATCAATTACACACACACATAGTGAAATGGTATTTTTTTTGTAATACGTACTCCAATAATCATAGTTTTTTACACCATATATATGAATTAAAGGCAGATTTCAGATCCCCAGTGTTATCTGTGCTGCTGTAAGACTATCAATCGACGTCCTTGGCCCAAGGTGAGGCCAGCACAGGTTTCGATGGGGTTTTATAATAAGATAAGCCCTTGAGCCGTTTTCATCACACCATCTTCATCTCAACAACAGGTGCCAAATCTGAAACTACACCTCTATAGTCTTCATATTGTTATTGTAGCTCCAAAAAAACAAGCTTTAAGAAGCTTCATTCCTGAACTGGAAAGGTTAAATACACGAATTAGTCAATATTGGAAGGTTCCTCTACTCTTCAGGCCTCAAACCCGAGAGCATGGCATTCCTCCTGCAGCAGATGTTGGGGGACAAACTGAAGAACATGACCGGAGGAGCCGAGGAGGCAGAAGTGAAAGGGGACGGGAAGGAGACGGCGGCGTCTAAAGGGATGAGCAGGGAAGAGTTTGAGGAGTATCAGAAACAGCTCATCGAGGAGAAGTGAGTACAACTGTTCATACATACAGCGACTGCCGTATATCATGTTGATGGGTCTCAAGCAGACGGAGAGAGATTTGTGACAAACATTTTGTCATCCATTTTAATGAAAACGAATATAGGTCTCAACCTTTGACCACACAATGTCCGAATCAAAATAAACAACAAGCAAAGAACATTTTGTTGTGAGGTTTCAATTTTGGTAGCTTACAATGGATCTAATCATTCCACATGACTGTACACTGTGTGATCTTTGGCCCTCTGGTGGTTAAAAGCAAAACTGCATGTATTTTGTGGCAGAACATTGTTTTGGATGTGCTGCGGATGAATATGATTATCCTGCCGCTCATAAAACATTCACTCACACCAGATGCGAATAGCCCGTCAAATTCGCGTCTACACTCTTAGAAGAAAAGGTTCTATATAGAACCTTAAAAGGTTCTATCAGTGCTATGTATTTGGAACCCCTAAAAGGTTCTATACACTCTTAAAAAAGTTCTATATAGAACCCTGGGGTTCCATACTTGGCCAATAGAACCTTTTACCAAAAAAAATGGTTCTATATAGAACCATTTTGGAGTTCCATATATGAAGCGGGGGATGGAACCATTTCTGGTTCTAAATAGAACCATTTCTTCTAAGAGTGTAGTTTGACGCTTGACCACTGTGTGTTAATTCGCGCGTCAAGAGTGAAACTGACACGCATAAAAACAAAAGTTTGAAGCGAAAATTACGCGCGTCACGGCAGCCATTTTTTTATATCGATCGAGCATTCATTGAGAGAGTCACCGCTCTGTATTTGCTCTGGAGAGCTAGAACAGGCGAGTTTCACCATTTGCTATCCTCATCCATCTAATATGTCATTTATTTTTATTTTGATGATAAATAGAGCCTGTTTCCTCTCTCACGTCCAGACACGAACTTATGCACATGTACGTTGGTTGTCTTTACATCATAATAACATTTCATATAATCTATATGGAATAAATAACATTCAATACAAAATGAACATGTCTTGTATATTGAAATAAAGTTTTGCATCCAGATCCTTCACCACATGAGCAAGCAGCAGGCTCCTGATTGGTTAACGCGGCACAAATTGACGCCAAAGTTCAGATTTTTCAACTCGGGCGGCAGAAGCGAATTCGCATCAAACGCTTGAATGCACAAATAACACTAACTAAATCATTTGAGTGTAACGCGGTGAACGCGCCAGACGCTCAATTCGTGCGAAATTAACGAAATTGACATTTTTTACACACATAACGCGCATTTGCATTGACTTAACATTGACATCGCGCCTGACGAGCTATTCGCACCATTAGGCTGTCCACAATAAAAATATTATTGGTTTAACTTAAAAAATGAAGTAACCTGGTTGCCTTAAAATTTTAAGTTCATTAAAATGGAAAAATTGAGTTAATACAATGAAGGAGAACTCAAAATATGATGTTATCTCAACTACATAAATTATTCAAATTGATTTAACAAAAGAAAATCTGTTGTGATTTGTTAAATTAAAATAAAATAAAATAAAATTAAGATCAATTTCCAAAAGATGATTTTTATTCCTCTTTTTAGGCAACTTTAGCGTGGGTGTCCAAACATATCACATCACGGTATATATTCTTGTTTCCAAATAGTTAATATACTGCAAACTTACATAACATCAGTATCGCTCAGTGATGTATATGAACATAATGAAATCGTCTTAGTCTGTAATTATTGTCTTATCCTAATTCCCATTTCCTACGGTCCGCCGGCCAAAAGTGGGATCAGTCCGTTATAGCCGTCATCACTGACCTGAGGTCGACTGAGGTCACAGATATATATATATATATATATATGAGGATGTGATGATATTTAAAGCATAAATCTAGCGTGTGGTTTATTAAGTGATGAGAAATACCACGGATAAACTCTGTAAGACTTCAGCCGGATATCTGAGGATCAACACTGAAAAGAGAAACCGTGAAAGCTGTGACGTCTCGGAAAAAACACTACACACACACACTGGCGTAATGTTACGCTCACTATACCTTATCTCTTTATATAACTTAAATGTAGAACTGGGTCACGAGAGGCCAAATGTGACCTAACCTTTAACACAAAGATGCTTGTGTGTGTGATGTTGTTTAATATCTCAAGTGTTACAGCGTTTGAGCGCTGCTCCATATTTTACCCCTAAACCCTTTAACCTTCTTAGGCTCCATCCTGCTGGTAACTGGGCTATTATTTCTGTAAGGAACAGTCTGGATATATACGTTTGAACGATGGCTAATCTCTGTGGGTCAGAGTAATACGATTGAGAGGTTCAGGAAGACGCTCAGATTGATCGGTTTCATGTAAAACCACTGAACACCATATACGTAGGCTAGCTCGGTTTCTGCCAGTGTGAATTAGGCTAATCGTGTCGGGTCAGATAGGGTGAGTCTCACAAAAAAACATGCCTAGGTCATTAACAAAATAAAATAAAGGATAATTAAGCCAATTTTTGTATCATTTGCACTCCAAAAATTGCTGGGTTGTTTTAACCCAACTTTGGGTCAAATATGGCCAAACCTAGCCATTGGGTTAAATGTTTTAATTACATTTACATTGTCCATAGTTTAAACAAAGTTGGGTTAAAACAACCCAGCAATTTTTGAGTGTATATTTATTTTTTATTATTATTTTGCAATTTTGATTTCAAATTCCCTCAAGGTCTCATTAAAATAATGCATTTTACTTTTAATATATTTTTTTTAATGATTGCCATTAGATAATTGTAATTGTATTGTAATATTTATTTATTTAACCACTCTCATTAATATAATGCATGGATACTTTACTTTTGATGTTTTTAATAAATGACTGCCTTTAGATTCTCATTATTGTACTGTAAAAGTTATTTATTTAATCAATAGAAATTCTCATTTAAGTTTTACTTTAATTATTAAATGATTGTCATTAGATTGTCATAATCTGTCATATTTATTTAATCAATATAAATTCCCCAATATACAAATTTATGAAAATGACTGCCATTATACGCTCATTAAAATACACTTTAATAATTGCTTTATTTATTTAATCAACATAAATTCTCATTATGCAATGTATGAAATGGCTGAAATTAAATTCTGAGAATTGGACTATAAATTATTATTTTTAATTGTAAAAAAAAATTGTACTGTAGTATTTATTTATTTTATCAATATAAATTCTCATTAATATAATGCATATATGGATGCTTTATTTTTTTGTTTTTTATTAAATGATTGCCATTAGATTCTCATAATTATACTGTACTATTGGTTTTAATTAATTAAATCAATTTAAATTTTTACTTTTCACAAAAGTTTTTATTTAAAAGATTGGCATCAGATTCTCATGCAATACTTTTTTTTTCTCGGCGCAACAAATCCTACATTAATTTAACCAATAAATACTTTACGATTGAAATAATATATGAGAAGTTGCATAAGAATATATGCTTAATATTCATAAAAAAGTAATGCAAAAATGCAATGCAGAGTAATATTTCTTATCTTGCGAGATTTACCCAGATGTTTCTTCATAACACATTCCAGATTCATATATCCATTTAATCGAGCAGAATACAGAAACTGATCATGTGTGTCATAATTCTGAACAGAATTACGAAGGGATAAAAGTACTAAGAAACTAAAACCTCACAATTTTGTTTCTAAAGTATCAACCTGCACTGTTAGACCTTACCAGGTTTTTTACAGTAAAATACTGGCAACACTGTTGCCAGTAATTTACAGTAAAAATGCACTAAAACTCAAGTTAACTAAAAAATACAACTTATTAGTTTTAGTGCATTTTTACAGTAATTTACTGTAAAAAACCTGGTAAGGTCCAACAGTGTGACTTTTGAACTAAAGCTGTTGTGAGACATGAATAATAAACATGAAACATGAATAATGCAGTAACGTGTTGCATGTTTTGTTGCCAGGATCACCAGGGACCAGGAGTTTGCTACAAAAAAAGCCGAGAGAGCAAACTTACGAGTGCATCTGCGCGACAAATACAGACTACCAGCGGTAACACATCACCAGTCCGCTTTGATTCAGATTCAGATTGTTTTATTGAGTGCAATGTCAGCATCCAAGGCTAAAAATTCAATTACACAAATACAAATATCATATAAATATTCTACAATAAAAACCAAACAAACAAAAAACAGCAAGATTTATTAGATTAACAAAAAACTGCTGTAAAAAAACGGCCATATTTTGACAGTAACATGCTGTTTTCCATTAAAATAGCAATATACCGTAGAAAAAATGCATTCTAGTTGATATAATAAAAAAAATCCAAAACCTTTTCAGGCATAATCTTAGTATTACTAAATAAGTCATTAAGTGAGGAAACTTCATAAAAAAATGCATTCTACCTCCAGGAGAATCTAGTAAAAACACTGCTCAAAAAAATAAAAGGGAACACTAAAATCATAAATCTGAATGAATGAAATAATCTTATTAAATACTTTTTTCTTGTTTTTAATTTTTAAGTGTTGTTTAAGTGTTCCCTTTATTTTTGAGCAGTATATGTTTAACAGTTTGGGGAAGTTGGCTTATATTCATTAATAATAATAACATATGCTGGGTTAATCTCACAAGCAACGCGTGTTCATTTGTGAGTGGAATTTGTTTATATAACAATTATAAAATACAAACTGTGTCATATTTGATACGCAGGCCTTTAAATGATCAAAACTTTTCTGATAAACCTGTTATACACTACAGTAATTCTGTCGTCTGATTGATATTTCATACTTTTATAGCAAGTCTTTTAGTGTAATTGTAAACTCGTGTCTTTCTGCTGTGAAATCTGCGCTGATGTTCATAAAGTAAACGTGAGATTAATATTTCTATTGTTGGTAATATTTCAAGATGAACCCAGCTTAGGTTTACTTGATTATCCATATAATGTGAGTCTCAAATATGATCATCAGGCTTTTGAGGAAGGTTTATTTGTTCATCTCTGTCATCATTGTATTATATGTTTTAAAACTATACCGATCATAAAACTAAGCATTTAAATATCAGCTTACTAAGACATTATTGGCAAATAAAGAGTTATTTAATGCCTATTTTATTAAGTCTAATATACAGTTATAATGATCTCATTGTTTTATATTATTATCAGAATTTCATCTTTCATCTGCATAAAATTGCATATTTTTGCTCAGTTTGTGCCTCTGAATAAAATGTAGATTTATAGCACAAACTCTATATTCTCACTATATGAGCCTTAAAAGCCTGATGTTTATGATATGATACAAAACAAACACACACACAGACAGAGACACACACACACATACATAAATACACAGACACACACAGAGACGCACATACATACATACACAGACACACACACACACACACTGGTCAATTCCAAATAATTAGATTTGTCTTACAGTATTATTTGATCTGTCAGGCTTCACAGGGTTAAAGACACGCATAAGTGTGTGTTTTCTGTTCGTCCACAGAGCGCACAGGACGACGCCACGGTCCAGATGGCCGGAGATGACCTGGACATTCCCGAGGAACTGGCGAAGATGGTGGACGAAGAGGAAGAGCAGGAGGAGATCAACGACTCTTTCATGGGGAAACTTCAGAACATGGACGTGGACTTCGACTCGATCAAGGCTAAAGCTCAGAGCACCATGACCGAGGTCAAACAGGCCGCCGAAGACAAGTGTGTCGCCATGTGACCCATCCATCATCAACAAACATGGATGTGGAAGGATTTCTACTTTGTTTTTTTCATTCAATGATTATTGATTAAAAAAAATTATTAATTTTTCTTTAAACACGTAAACGTTTATGGCTATGATCTTTTGCTACACAACTTTTGTGTCATACAGGTTTTCATTAAAGGGATAGTTCACCCCAAAATGTAACCTCTGTCAGTAATTACTCTCCCTCATGTTGTTCAACCCCGTCTTCAGAACACAAATGAAGATATTTCTGATTAAATCTGCGAGCTGGATCACTCCTCCATAGGCTTCTGAGGGATCTAAACTGGCCGGCCCAGAAAAGTTATTAAAGACATCGTTAAAATAGTCCGAGTGACGACAGCGGCTCAACCTTAAGTTTATCAAGCGACGAGAATACTTTTTGTGTTCAAAAATGTTGTGTTCAAGAAAAAAAAATATGACTTTATTTTAAATAAATATATATGATATGTCCTATCTATTGTTTGTTTCTTTATGTTTCCAGTCGGTTTAATTTAATATGCATTATTGTATTATGTTATTGATTTAAAATAAAGCATTTGCCATCTTTCCATAAAACATTTGACCAAGTGAGTGTTGCATCTTGGGTAAAATTTTACAATAAAGTTTCATGTTTTTATGTTTTCAATAAATGAACAATACTTCTACAGCACACTGTTAGACCTTACCAGGTTTTTACAGTAAAATACTGGCAACACTGTTGCCAGTAATTTACTGTACAAAAATGTACTAAAACTAATAAGTTGTATTTTTTTAGTTAACTTGAGTTTTAGTGCATTTTTACAGTAAATTACTGGCAACAGTGTTGTAAAAATGCACTAAAACTAATAAGTTGTATTTTTTTAGTTAACTTGAGTTTTAGTGCATTTTTACAGTAAATTACTGGCAACAGTGTTGTAAAAATGCACTAAAACTAATAAGTTGTATTTTTTAGTTAACTTGAGTTTTAGTGCATTTTTACAGTAAATTACTGGCAACAGTGTTGTAAAAATGCACTAAAACTAATAAGTTGTATTTTTAATTTAACTTGAGTTTTAGTGCATTTTTACAGTAGATTACTGGCAACAGTGTTGTAAAAATGCACTAAAACTAATAAGTTGTATTTTTTAGTTAACTTGAGTTTTAGTGCATTTTTACAGTAAATTACTGGCAACAGTGTTGTAAAAATGCACTAAAACTAATAAGTTGTATTTTTTAGTTAACTTGAGTTTTAGTGCATTTTTACAGTAAATTACTGGCAACAGTGTTGTAAAAATGCACTAAAACTAATAAGTTGTATTTTTTAGTTAACTTGAGTTTTAGTGCATTTTTACAGTAGATTACTGGCAACAGTGTTGTAAAAATGCACTAAAACTAATAAGTTGTATTTTTTAGTTAACTTGAGTTTTAGTGCATTTTTACAGTAAATTACTGGCAACAGTGTTGTAAAAATGCACTAAAACTAATAAGTTGTATTTTTTAGTTAACTTGAGTTTTAGTGCATTTTTACAGTAGATTACTGGCAACAGTGTTGTAAAAATGCACTAAAACTAATAAGTTGTATTTTTTTAGTTAACTTGAGTTTTAGTGCATTTTTACAGTAGATTACTGGCAACAGTGTTGAAAAAATGCACTAAAACTAATAAGTTGTATTTTTTAGTTAACTTGAGTTTTAGTGCATTTTTACAGTAGATTACTGGCAACAGTGTTGTAAAAATGCACTAAAACTAATAAGTTGTATTTTTTAGTTAACTTGAGTTTTAGTGCATTTTTACAGTAAATTACTGGCAACAGTGTTGTAAAAATGCACTAAAACTAATAAGTTGTATTTTTTAGTTAACTTGAGTTTTAGTGCATTTTTACAGTAAATTACTGGCAACAGTGTTGTAAAAATGCACTAAAACTAATAAGTTGTATTTTTTTAGTTAACTTGAGTTTTAGTGCATTTTTACAGTAAATTACTGGCAACAGTGTTGTAAAAATGCACTAAAACTAATAAGTTGTATTTTTTAGTTAACTTGAGTTTTAGTGCATTTTTACAGTAGATTACTGGCAACAGTGTTGTAAAAATGCACTAAAACTAATAAGTTGTATTTTTTAGTTAACTTGAGTTTTAGTGCATTTTTACAGTAGATTCCTGGCAACAGTGTTGTAAAAATGCACTAAAACTAATAAGTTGTATTTTTTTAGTTAACTTGAGTTTTAGTGCATTTTTACAGTAAATTACTGGCAACAGTGTTGTAAAAATGCACTAAAACTAATAAGTTGTATTTTTTAGTTAACTTGAGTTTTAGTGCATTTTTACAGTAAATTACTGGCAACAGTGTTGTAAAAATGCACTAAAACTAATAAGTTGTATTTTTTAGTTAACTTGAGTTTTAGTGCATTTTTACAGTAAATTACTGGCAACAGTGTTGTAAAAATGCACTAAAACTAATAAGTTGTATTTTTTAGTTAACTTGAGTTTTAGTGCATTTTTACAGTAAATTACTGGCAACAGTGTTGTAAAAATGCACTAAAACTAATAAGTTGTATTTTTTAGTTAACTTGAGTTTTAGTGCATTTTTACAGTAAATTACTGGCAACAGTGTTGTAAAAATGCACTAAAACTAATAAGTTGTATTTTTTAGTTAACTTGAGTTTTAGTGCATTTTTACAGTAAATTACTGGCAACAGTGTTGCCAGTATTTTACTGTAAAAAACCTGGTAAGGTCTAACAGTGCATTTATTATTAATCAGTTCAAAATCTACTAATATATTGTTTAGATCAAAAGTTGTATCTGTTTACATTAGCTAATGTACTGTGAACTAACATGAACATTTTAAGTAACATCCACAAATGAAAAAAAGAATATATTGCTCATGCTAACTAATGCATTAATTAATGATATTGATAAAGTATTAAAACATGCAATTTGTATGATCCCTCTTATTTTGTTTATTATTATTTAGTTTATTTCTGCAAGGTGTACATATTTAAACTTATGACTGCACCTATAAAAACTTTTAAAAGCTATAATATAATTTCCAGTAATGGTTCGCATATATAAATGAAAATTCAGTCATCATTTACACTGGATTCAGATGTGAGACTTGTCCAGTGCACAAGTCAAATGAACACTTTAATTGTTTTTAGAGCTAAAATCATAACAAGTAAATGATGACAGAATTAGTAGGCCCATTAGTATATAACGTCCCTTTAAGATCAATCCAGTACTCGTTTAAAACAGACAACGAGATAGCTGAACATTAAAAGAGCACTGCGGGGTTCACTTCAGGAATACCTCGAGCTGTTCTTCATCCTCAGATGTTAGCATGATGAACAGGAGTCTCTTCTTCACATCGCACAGCAGATTATCTGTTCTATCCCTTCTCTGCATCTGCAATCACAACACAGCCTAAGAATAGATAACCATAGACACTAGACTGCTTAGCATCATAAACTAGATGAAGCATTAGTTCTGTGAATAGACAAGAGATGCTTACTTAGCCGTGTGCCAGCGTGCTACCAGCTGCTCCAAATCAGTCATGTGAAAAGCCCATTAACCATCGAAAGAAAGGCTCAAGAAGAATTAATAAATTATTACCATGTTTTTTGGACAAGTGTGATGGTGCCTTTCATTTAAGTATGGTTGTGAAACGTTCACAACCATTTCACTTCCATAAGAAGAATAAATGTATGTGAATGCAACAGATTGTTCACTTTGTTTATTAAAAAGTGTCTCATTTACTTCTACAATGAGGCACATTTGCGAATGCACCAGATGATTTGCTTTGGATGAAAAGGAGCTAAAGCAGTGGAATTCAGAAACTCTTGTTATCAGCGACACCGCTGGCCGATAAGAGAATTGCAGCCAGAAAATTAAAGGGGTCATCAGATGCACAATTCACTTTTATATGGTGTTTGCAAATTGCTGGAGAATTGTTGTCAGAGAATTACCGCGCTATTCTCCGACATGCCCGATCGCGGTGTGTTTTAAAAGAAAAAAGAAAAAAATCACTAAAAGGTTGTTAAAATCCCTAATAGGTTGTGGAATTTACCGGGATATGTCAAATAGGGAAGCCAGCGACCGGTATGTGGACTAAACCGGCACTTTTAACGGTTTGGATCCATATGAAATTTCCAACGAAGAGTCGGCAAACAGTGGGAACACAGCCTAATCCAGACAGATAGTTAGTAACATTAGCTGTCAACCCTCACGTTTTTTTCCGGGTTTCTCACGTACTTGAGCTCTTTTCCCGCTGTCTTCCCGTTTTAGGTTTTTCCTGTAAAATATCTCGTATTTTAATATTCTCATAACATTAACATTAGCCCTTTAATCGGACCTGTCAGTGTCTCCTGTAGCTCTTGCTTTAAGCATCGTTTTGCTTACTAACTTAAGTTTCGCTTAAAACAGCTAACGTTACTAACTACACTTTTGAAACACATAGTTAAAAGTACGTTTTATGTGTGAATGGTTGTTAGCACTATAACTGTTACTAAACTAGCAGCTAGGTGGAGCGCAGTTTACCTTTAACTGAAACTTTCAGTTATTCTTTTTCAGCTGGCTGACCGTACAAATATTCATATGGTAGTAAGCATTTTTTAAAGGGAAATTATACATTATAACAGGAAAATGTACCTTTTGTAAAAAACAAAAAAAAAACAAACTGTGAGTCTGCACATGCGCATAACCGGTAAGTAGCAAATCTCGATGGGTAGCATGAATTTTCAGAACACCTGGTTTAAGTTAGCGTAATGTACTGTGCTCCCACTGTTTGTTGGAAATATCAAAAGGATCCAACCTGTTAAAAGTGCCGTTTTATCCACATACCGGTCCCTGGTGTCTATGTTAAACGTATCCCGGTAAATTCCGCATCCTTTTTTAGGGATTTTAACATCTTTTTTTATTGTCTTTCTCCCAACTCGGCTGCTTCTCCTCGTTCGACTTGCTGGTATGTTTACATTTGCGAAGCTGTTAACATGGCCGCCACGTCCCAGAATGCAACGCGGCGCCCAAACCGACTTTCCCGCTCGCGGTCCCTGTGCTCGCGGTGTTAGCACGTGTCCGCGCTATTCTCCGACTTGCCCGCTCGCGGTCCCTGTGCTCGCGGTGTTAGCGCGTGTCCGCGCTATTCTCCGACATGCCTGATCGCGGTGTCGTGCCTAACGCGCCCTTCAGCCGTTAACGTTAACCTTATTACTTACGTAAAACACGGCTGTTCACTTTCAGACGTTGTAGATGTTTTCTTGTCACAAAAAGAAACAGGTAATTAGGTTATATAATTTTAAATATATTTGAAAGACAATTTGTTTATTTTATACTTTAAGCATTATCGTAGCCTATTGCATACCGAATATCACATTTTTCTTCAATATTGTGCAGCCCAACAATTCATGCCATTATAAAGCTCGGTAGTGTCAGGATGTTTATTAATTTAACTCCAATTGTATTCGTCTGAAAAAAGAAAGTAATATACACCTAGGAGGATGGCTTCAGGGCGAGTAAATCATAGGTTCATTTTAATTTTAACTTGAACTTTGAACTTTACCTTTCGCAACAAAATGTTCTCACATTGGCAATACAAGAGTAGGCTAATACATGGACATTACACACAGGTGAAACTTGAACAATTAGAATATTGTGCAAAAGTTCATTTATTTTAGCAATTCAACTTAAAACCTAATAGGCTATATATAGGCTCATTGCATGCAAAGTGAGACATTTCAAGCTTTTATTTGTTATAATTTTGATGATTATGGATTAACCTTTTCACAATATTCTTATTTATTCGAGTTTCACCTGTTGAAAGCGTCCGTTAAATAAGTAAATGCATCCAACGAGAAATAGGCCTACTGTAAATACTGTATTTAAAAATGTGAGCCTGTCACTTTCATTGATGAAACGACCTGATGTAATCTCGGAGAGCAGTGGGTGTGTGGAAGGATGTAGTAGGCGGAGTTAATTAGCACATAAAGACTAAGCGGTAGATTACTGTAACACCAAAGCATGTCAGTGTCTTATTGGGATTTGACGTCATCAACAGCCTAAAATTACACACACAAAATCCATTTGGCAGGCATTAACAAAGCCACTTGACGGAAAATTACCCACACAAAATTTAAAAAAAACGAATCGCCAAAAGCATGCATGTAATTTTAATACATGGAAGGTTGAAGACATGAGTTGGCTCTTGGTTTAATTTGATTTTCAGCCATAACAGGATTAGTTTCCCTGCTTTCATTCTTGTCCTTGTGTCAGATCAACAAAAGCAAACAAACTCGTCATGCTGATGCAGATCTACAGGTGTTACGTAAAGTGAACTGGATCTATACTGTATGGGCACTGCTATTGCATTTGTGTAACACGTATTATGTAACAGTTCAAAAAGTATGTTACATTAGCGAGTCGCGTCCACAGAAAGGATAAATAGATTGAAAAGATATATATTTGTGCTAGAAAACAAGACAGAAAGGAAGATACACTCACCTAAAGGATAAACACCTGTTTTCTCACACACACAATTTCTCATTAATGCAATTATTTTTATTTTATTTTTTTATTTGACCAGGAAAATCTCAAATCTCTTTCACAGGAGAGTCCTGACCAAGAATGGACAGCAGTTACACTCACAACTTACAGATTGAAACAACAAATAGACAATTAAAACACTTAAAAACAATTGCAAATCAATGCGTCTACTTCGAATGATCGAATAATAGATTTGAAATGTTCCATAGGCAACAGCGTATGTAATTTCAATTTCGTTTGAAGTAAACTCCATTCAAATGGAGCTGCGTACATAAAAGCCCCTTTTCCCAGTTCAGTTCTCACAAATGGAACAGAGAAAGTAAAACAATTATCAGACCGAAGGGAATATTTCCCAACACTTTTCTTTTGAATTAGGCAAGATACAAAGGCAACAACCCCAGAATAGTTTTATAAATTTATTTATTTTATTTATTTTTTCATTTATTTATTTGACAGGGACAATGCAAACAAACATAGTGTCAAGATCAAGCATGTCACTGAAGTGTTGCATATAAAGTTTAGCTACAGGTATAGCTAATTTTCAACTCCTGTCCCTGGAAGGGCTTTTATACAGAATAAAATTTACATGATTAGCTACTTCAATAATAAAATAATAATAATAATAATAATAAAAAAATAATACTAATAATAAAAATACTAATAAGCATACATACATATCATATACAACTCAAATAATTAGGTAAAAAATTAATTTTCCTTCTAATAGACAAAGATGCTCTATTATACAATATACAATGATGAGTTAAAGGTCTACAATCTGATATAAATCTTAAAGCGCTGTGATAAACAGCATCCAAAGAAGAAAGAAGTTGAGAAGAAGCAAATTGATACACCACATCACCATAGTCGAGTACGGGCAAGAAAGTAGTAGAAACTAACCTCTTTCTTATACATTAAATGAAAAACAGAGCTTGTTTCTAAAATAAAACCCAAGCTTTTTTCTTCTAATCTAATCAGCCAATCACATGGCAGTCGCTTCAATGCATTTAGGGGTGTGGTCCTGGTCAAGACAATCTCCTGAACTCCAAACTGAATGTCAGAATGGGAAAAAAAAGGTGATTTAAGCACTTTTGAGCGTTGCATGATTGTTGGTGTCTGAGTATTTCACAATCTGCTCAGTTACTGGGATTTTCACGCACAACCATTTCTAGGGTTTACAAAGAATGGTGTGAGAAGGGAAAAACGTCCAGTATGCGGCAGTCCTGTGGGCGAAAACGCCTTGTTGATGCTCGAGGTCAGAGGAGAATGGGCCGACTGATTCAAGCTGATAGAAGAGACACTTTGACTGAAATAACCACTCGTTACAACCGAGGTATTCAGACAACACACACAACCTTGAGGCGGATGGGCTACAACAGCAGAAGACCCCACCGGGTACCACTCATCTCCACTACAAAGAGGAAAAAGAGGCAAGAGCTCACCAAAACTGGACAGTTGAAGACTGGAGAAATGTCGCCTGGTCTGATGAGTCTCGATTTCTGTTCTCGATTTGGCGTAAACAGAATGAGAACATGGATCCATCATGCCTTGTTACCACTGTGCAGGCTGGTGGTGGTGGTGTAATGGTTTTCTTGGCACACTTTAGGCCCCTTAGTGCCAATTGGGCATCGTTTAAATGCCACGGCCTACCTGAGCATTGTTTCTGACCATGTCCATCCCTTTATGGCCACCATGTCCCCATCCTCTGATGGCTACTTCCAGCAGGATAATGCACCATGAATCATTTCAAACTGGTTTCTTGATCATGTCAATGAGTTGACTGTACTAAAATGGCCGCCACAGTCACCAGATCTCAACCCAATAGAGCATCTTTGGGATGTGGTGGAATGGGAGCTTCATCCCACAAATCTCCATCAACTGCAAGATGCTATCCTATCAATATGGGCCAACATCTCTAAAGAATACTTGTTGAATCAATGCCACGTAGAATTAAGGTGAAAGGGGGTCAAACACAGTATTAGTGTGGTGTTCCTAATAATCCTTTAGGTGAGTGTGTGTGTATATACTTTATATATTTACTGTATATGTTTTTTTGTTCGTTTGTTTTTTTTGTGTTTTTGCAGTGCGGATGTTATTTTGGAAAACAAAATGTTTGCTTTGCATTTTTATCCAATTTTTTGAGATTGTCAACATCAACTCATGGAAGTCAAACCAAATGATAAATTAGTTTAATAAGGTAATAAGTAAATAATAAATCAAGTTCAACATATTGCATTATGGGATACAGTATCCTGTAGATCGATCCATCCATCCATCCATCCATCCATCCATCCATCCATCCATCCATCCATCCATCCATCCATCCATCCATCCTTCTTTCTTTCTTTCTTTCTTTCTTTCTTTCTTTCTTTCTTTCTTTCTTTCTTTCTTTCTTTCTTTCTTTCTTTCTTTCTTTCTTTCTTTCTTTCTTCCTTTCTTCCTTTCTTTCTTTCTCTCTCTCTCCATTCGCCCTGTCCTGCATGGTAAGCTGACACAG